CAACCAAACCCAACCAACCTAACCCAACCAACCAAACCCAACCTACCAAACCCACCAAACCAAACCAACCAAACCCAACCCACCAAACCCAACCCGCCAAACAACCCACCACACCCTACCAACCAAACCCAACCAACCAAACAACCAACCCAACCAACCAAACCCCAACCCAACCAAGCAAGCAAGCCACAACCAAGCAAGCAAGCCACCAAGCAAGCAAGCAAGCAAGCAAGCAAGCAAGCAAGCAAGCAAGCAAGCAACCAACCAACCAACCAACCAACCAACCAACCAACCTGCGAAAATCCAGAAGTGTCAGTTACTGACCAAACAAGAAGTCACAACCTGAAGTATTCACCAGGCTCAACCCTGAAGTTCACTCTGAGCAGCTGAAGTCCTCTTTCCTCGTCTTGAGCCAAAGTAAGAAGTGTGAAGTACTGTGCATAGGTGTGTGGAAGTACGTGTGTCTTGACACGCTCCCTTGAAGTGATGCACCATTGCATCAGTTCACACCTGAAGTTGAACATGCTTCATCAAGAAGTCTTAAATTCAGACCCTGCGTACTATGAAGTGTGATTCGTGCCTGTACGAAGTATGAGGGATTAGGCTAGAGCAAGATGGAAGTGAGCTATGCCAAGCTGAGCGTCATTGAGGTCAGCTGCATGAAGTTGTCATCATCACAAATTGCAGCAAAAGAAGTTGAGATCTGAAAATGAATTCTGAAGTCTTGCAAAACTTGTCTTGCCAAAATGGCTGAAGTGAAACACGACTGTCCTGAAGTCTACAACTTTGCCCTTCTGGACCTCAACACTAGAAGTTGGTCAACTAACCAGTCTTCTTCTCGTGCAAGGGTGAAGTTCCATCCTCTTCCAAGGTAGAGGTGCGTGAAACGGAAGTGATGAGTCCTTGGGTGAAGTGACTGATGTTGTGGACACACAGAGAAGAGCGCAGTAGCCAGAGTCATAGAAGCAAACCGTGGCAAACCGAAACAGCGCATAGTGGATTTTTCGAGCTCACTGAAGTTGTAGCTTCCAGTGATGTGAAAGAAGTAATCCACGTACTGACGGTTCCACAATCGAAGTCCCCCGTTCTGAAGTTCTCTCCACACTCTATCAGTCTCAAGCTGAAAACATAGAAGTACCACAGGATCATGAAACCTCGAAGGAAGTGACTGAACCGTTCCACCAGCATGCAATGTGAGCCTGAAGTACCATCCACCGGCTCCAAGCCCCAAAGAGGAGCGCACTGCGCGGTGAAGTATGCAGGTTTGCCATACTTTCTCCATCTGGACAATTAGCTCCATCCAGAGAAGTCATAGCCACAAAGTGCCCTGAAGAGGCCAATGAAAGCTAGGTCATGCATGCCAAGAAGAATGTAGAAGTGTCCAGTCAAAGTCCATGCAAGAAGTGAAGCTGGGCCTTGAGGACGCTGAAGTGGAAACTCATCCACCATCTTGTACAGAAGTTGTTCCTCAGGAGTATTCATCATGACTTCTGACTCCTGGAAACAGACTCTCCTGTTTCGAAGTTGCAGCATCGTGTGGAAGTCCAGGTGAAGTCAACTGGACCTTGTTCCAAAAACTATGCAGAAAATGCTCTGGATTCAACTGCAGAATGAAGTGAGGGTTGTCATACGGTGGCATCACCGAAGTTTGCAGATCAGGACTCGAACTGAAGTCCAACCCTCTGTTCATACGCTGCGCCTGAAGTTGATCTTGAAGCCTCTGCTGCTGCTGAACCTCCTCATGTGTCTGGAAGTTCCGCCATGAAAGTGGTGGAATGCGTGGAAGTGCCTTTGCCATCTTAGGTGGCATGGTTTCACTGGTGCTCCACTCTTCAAACCTGAAGTCCGATGACGTAAGGGTCCGCCATCTGCAGTAAAGAAAGCAAATAGAAATGAAGTCGAGGCAGCCCACATTTGCCAATCAAGGCGTCCGGTTTGAAGTACCAGAATTGCAATCAGTTCGAAGTCCAGTCGCGACATGGCCACGAAGTGAAAAACATTTCAGGATGATTGAAACAAAAGCAGCGTCAAAGTCTCAGAATCGAAATTGAAGTTGCAAAACGGACGGCTCTCAGCACATGAAGTGAACGGCTTGCAGGAAAACGAAGTTACTAACCATGGCAAACTAGCTACCCGGGATGAAGTGAACCATAACTATCATACTCGGGAGCCTAAGTGAAGTGAAAAGCAACAACGACAACCAAGCCAAAAACAAAACACAAAAACCAACCAAAACCACAACCAGAAGTACCTGACACTTATACGTGTGAAGTATGTACACAATACGTGCTATACACGTGCACACATGCAAGAAGTAATTATAAGTTCTGTACCAGTGCAAAGTCGCAAAGTGCAAAGTTCTTTACTCCTGGCGTGCCTAAGGCAAAACACTAGAAGTTACTATGCGCCAAACTGGCGATCCATGTTCATGAAGTGTCTTCACAGCGCTCGACCCATGAGAGGGGATCCCAAGGGTTGACAGGTGTCTGTGAAGCACCTCCTTAGTGATGTACTTTGTCATCACATCAGAAGTGTTCAAGGTTCCAGCAACTTTCTTGATTGCCACGATGCCTGAAGTTACAAGTTCTTGGATAAACAAAAACCGAAGTTGCACGTGTTTGGTTTTCTTGGAAGTTCCGAAACGTGTTGCCATAGATTTGCCTGCGGTGCTGTCAGTGTGAAGTTTGATGTTGACCTTTTGCGCGATTTGCGATTCTAAAAGAAGTGAACGGATAAACAGGCCTTCGCTCGCACCTAGACCTATTGCGTACAGTTCTGCTTCGCCGGATGAAGTAGCTACTGTTTGCTGTGCTCTGCTTTGTGAAGTGATCAGGGTGCCAAGAAAGTACAATGCCATACCTGAAGTGCTGCGCCGAGTTGCAACGCAACCGGCCCAATCTGAATCTACAAAAAAATCGATGTCAAATGAAGTCTGCTTGGAGTGCGGAATCACCTTAGGACGAAGTTGCAAAACCGCTGGCTTTGTTCCAGCGAGATACCTTAGGAGTGTCTTCATCTTCACCAAGTGGTCCTTAGTGGGAGCAACAAGTCCTCGGGAAAGTTCCTTAGTCGCAAACTGAATGTCTGGTCGGATGTTGCTGAGCCACAGAAGTTGTCCAACAATTCGTCGATACAACTTGCGCTCGTCCTTTGAAAGAAGTTCTTCCGACTCAATCAACTTGCGAAGTGAATCCACACAAGGTGTGGCAGCAGGTTTACAGTTTGTCATGTCAAGTTGTTCAAGCATTTTGTCGATGTATGAAGTCGGCATCGACATCTCCATAGAATCATCGCGTCGAGTGATGCAACGACCCAAGAAGTTGATGCTTTTGCCTGACTCAAGAACACCTTCTTGCCTCAAACACAACTGCCTCTGAAGTTCTGCGAACAGATACTCACAGGATCCTTTCGGACCGAACAGAAGCAAGTCATCAACGTAACACAACATGTACACCTTGCGTGCCTCATGGAAGTACAAGTTTGAATCCGACTTCAGTCGCTTGAATCCAAGTGAAGAAGCAACAGAAACGAAGTGTTGTTGCCACATTTTTGGACTCTGCTTTAAGCCATACATTGCTTTGCGAAGTTTCCACAAAACGCCACCGTTCGGGTAGTATTCAACCGGAGGAATTACAAACACCTCATCAGTGAGAAGTGCGTGCAAAAAGGCGGTTGAAACGTCACCTGCAATGACAAAGCAGTCAAACGCAATGGCAAGTGTCAACAACAAGCGAAGTGTGATGAGGGACGGCGCGCTGGCGTAAGTGTCGTCGGGGTCGACCTCTTGATCGAATCCACGAACGCACACGCGGCACTTGACCTCGCCGCCTTTTGGCCGTTTCACCCACTTTGTTGAAATGGCATTCTGAAGTTGCTCGGAAGTACATTCGGAAGTCAAGACCTCTTCATACACCTCGAAGTTCTTGATGGAAGTCATTTCCTTGTTCATGCCTGCAATCTCCTGCTCGCGGTCAAACTCAGTGTCGTACCACAAGACGGGATCGGCTGCGCGAAGTGCTTGAAGCTCTTCTTCACGATCAACATTGGGCTCAATTGGAACGTCAAGTCCATGCTTTGTAGTGACAGAAGCAACAGTCAAGCAAAGAAACAGGAAGTGAATCATCATCTTCAAGAACAGCTCCAATCCGCTGAAGTTTCGTTCCGCTCCTGGAACTGTGTCGGGGGCTGAACGCTTCAAGTCGGAAGTGGATGGTCCGACACGCTGAAACAAGTTGGCGGGTTCATCTACGTCATCAAGCTCTATGTCTTCCGAAGTTCGTTTGGTGCCATGAGATGGTGCCGAAGTTTCAAAAGCAGTGGATGGAGCGTCCGCAACAGGAGAAGGCGTCACGGGCGCACCACTTGCAATCTCTGCTGGCGGAGGAGGAAGTATGAGAACATCCGTGTCCTCACCACGACCTTTCGGATCCCAGGGGGATGCCTTGAAGTCCTCAGCCATACGTTGGTCAACTTGTTCCGACACAGGAAGTCGGCGAATGCTCCTGGTTTTGAGCACACCCGAAGTGGCGCCGATCAAGCGCATGTCAGCGGAAGTG